TTGAAGTCCTCAGCCAAAGCATATTAAGAGACATTTGTATTTTCCTGCCATTCCTGATGAATGAGGCTGCAGAAAAAGAGCACTTTGGGATATTCCAAAATTATATTGAGAATATTTCAGTAGGCCGTGAGTCAGGCCTTACTCATTGACATACACGAGGCAGAGGTAGTACTTAATTTAATTTAATTACTGAACAGAGAAGTTTCACATTATCTTATTCCCTTGTAAAAAGACACCGATTCAGCTTCTCTATTCCGTAAATTAGTATTTTCTTCACAAATTTCTTGCCGTTTAATGCCTTTTCAAGAGAATACTCCGGTGTCATGCCTTAATTAAAAAGATTTCTGTTAATATGCCATTTGAAATACACCTGGTTTGAAAATATTGGGACAATTGTCCTGGTGTTGCTCCTCAATCCCTGCTTTCCTTTCTCACTCTGGTGGCTTTTGAAACCAGGTGATAAAAACCCTGCATGAAACGCGCTGAAGATAATCTCTTCTCGGGAGCAATCATAACTTTATTGATGTGGCAGAGTGTAAAAATAGCATCAGATGTCAGGTTTATATCGTTAGGGTCAGTGATTGATTAAACATGAGTAAGCTGCTTAGATCCAACAAGATGTTCTTGTAGTTCTCAGGCAAGGACATCATCAGATGTCAAGTTCCAAGTTTGTCCCAGGATTATCCGTGGGTACGAGCAGAATAAATAAGTTATTTCACTCAGTGCGTTTGCCCTGTGGTGGCTTCTGGTCATCCTGGAGCAAACTCACCCCAGAGTGGTGACATTTAATAACGAAGAGCCTTGAGGATGAGGGGACTAGAAGGAAAGGCTGAGGGACTTGGGGCTTTGAGTCCGTCCCAGGATTATCCGTGGGTATGAGCAGAATAAATAAGTTATTTCACTCGGTGCGTTGGCCCTGTGCTCCAGGATGCTGGTCATCCTGGAGCAAAATCACCCCAGAGTGGTGATATTTAATAACGAACAGCCTTGAGGATGAGGGGACTAGAAAGAAAGGCTGAATAGAAGTAGTTCCATCTCAACACGAGGAGGAACTTCTTTACTGTGAGGGTGGCAGAGCCCTGGCAGAGGCTGCCCAGAGAGGTGGTGGAGTCTCCGTCTCTGGAGACATTCAAACCCCACCTGGACACGTTCCTGTGGGACCTGCTCTGGGTGGCCCTGCTCTGGCAGGGGGTTGGACTGGATGATCTCATAGAATCATAGAATTGTCCAGGCCAGAAGGGACCTCCAAGGGTCATCTTGTCCTGCCTCCCTACCTACTGTCAGCAGGGACACCCCCAACTAGACCAGGTTGCCCAGGGCCTCGTCGAGCTTCTCCTTGAATATCTCCAGGGATGGGGCCTCAACCACCTCCCTGGGCAACCTGTTCCAGTGCTCCACCACCCTCACAGTGAAGAACCCTCTCCTCATCTCCAGTCTAAATCTGTTCCCCTCCAGCTTGAAGCCATTGCCCCTCGTCCTGTCACTCCAGGCCTTTCTAAACAGGTTCTCCCCCTGAGTCTGTGATGGCTTTAACTGGAGGCTACTAGACCTGACCTCAGCAGGTTGTCCCTTCCAACCCTGACTATTCTGTGAGTCTGTGATGGCTTTAATTGGAGGCTACTAGACCTGACCTCAGCAGGTTACTCACCGCAGTTGTATTGATCTCAATAACGATCTGTCTAATTGCATCATCTTGACGTATAACCCCCAAAGCTGCAGTTTATTCTGTCCAAGTTCTGAAGCGTTGATGGGTTGATCAAGTTCTGAAGTTCTTGGGTTGACAAGTTCTGAAGCGTTGATGGGTTTCTGATCATTATGGGCTGGTTCTTGGCTGTTTCAGGTGCGAGCGGCTCCACCACCCCCAACGCAGCATCATCGCCGGCCAACGGAGAAGATCGAGGACGTGGAAATCACTCTGGTGTAACCATGGGACTAGCTCAGTAGTAGTGCTACAATCAAGACCAAACGCGGTATTTGGTCAATCTCGTTTTTAGGCACCTTTGCATGATGAAGACTTTTAAATAGAGCAAGAGATGGGGGAGGGTTTTCTGTGGCAGCGACGCGGCGGATTCCTTCCCCGGTGGGTCATGAATATTTTGTGCCTTTTAATTTTTTTTTTTGGCTGTCGTTTTTTTGATTTATAGACATCATTCTTCCTCTCTTAGCACAAAAACCAAGACGGGCCAGACAGCGAGCGGAGATTTGCCTCGGAGCAGGTTTCTCTCTTGGCTGCAAATGGTCAATTTTTTTACAGAGGCCGAGGAAAAGAAAAGAAAACACAAAAAAAAAAGCCTCATTCATGCGATTTAAGTCAGAGCATATTTCCATCCCGTGCGTTAGTACAGTATATTACTGTTGCCATAGGAATGTGTTAAAAGATTGTCAATTCTTCAAGTAGCGTTAACTTGTCTGATTAGGTATTAATCAGAGCTCGTGGAGTGAAAAAAAAAAAAAGGGAACTGAAGCAAGAAGTGTAAGGAGAGGCTGGATCCTCTTTAATCCCCTTCGCAGAAAGGAAGAAGCAGGAAAAAAAAAAAAAAAAGAAAAAAAAGAAAAATAATAGTCTTAGAGATAAGGAAAACTGATGCGGATCATACGGCGTTGATGACGTTAATGCACACACCTCTTGGATAATTAACAGTTAAAGAGAACTAAATGTTCTTTGTATTAATATTTATGCAGTACATTTAGTAATAGAGTATCTAATATGGAGGTGCTGAATTAGTAGCAACATCCTGTCCCATAGCATAAACCAACTGGTAGAAAAATAAGTGAGATTTTTTTTGTCTAGATCTGGAAATTGAGCTGCTTTTTTTTTTTTTTTTTTTTTTTTTTTTTTTTTTTTTTAGCAGATTTTGGGGGTTTTTTGGTTGGTTTTTTTTTTTGATTTCTAAAGTATTTGGGTCACTCTTATTCCAGTTATTGCCGTGTACTTTATTACCCGAGGTTAGCAGTATATCTTCATCATCATCAAACACATCAGGCTAGAGTTAGAGGTGACATTTAGAGTATTTACCCTCGTTATTTAGTTGTCGCATCGGATGCTCGGGGCCACCTTCGTGGCCGGGACCGTGGCCTCAAAGTACTCTTAGAAAGAGGAAAAAAAAAAAAAGTCAAAACTTCCATTTTTCAATCGGAGATTCCTCGGAAAAGGAAGCTTTCTGGTTTTTTGTTGTTGGCGTTTGCAAGAAAAGGGTGGAGGGAATGGGGAGCTGTCACAGGGGAACGGTCAGAGGAGAAGGAAAAACTGGATGAAAAGAGGTTTTTTTTGAGGTGCGCTTACGAAATTATTATTTTCAACCATCTCCCAGCAGATCAAAGCTTCGGTTCAAAAGCATCACGAGGTTGGGTTTTTTTTTTTTTTTTGAGCTGTTCCATGGGTTCTGTGAAACGCTCTCTTCTGCCTTCATGGGTTTTTTCGAAGTGAGTTTTCTACTTTTAATTTACTAACAAGGGCTATTTTTTGAGGCTGCATTTTTACACACACGCGCGCGCAAAAAACAAAAAAAATCAATCATCTACCAAGATTTTATCACAAATTTTGCACATCCTGGTAAATCCCACCCCAGGCTGGGTCTCCCAGATGTCCGTGTTTCCCCATCTCCTTTTCCAGGGAGGGGGGATCTGGCACCGGGAGCCGTTGGAAGCAAATAATTCCTGGATCATTTCCGAAACCGCTGACTCTCCCGAGTGAAGCCTTTTCCATATTTTTCATTCTTTTGCACCTCTCTCGTCCTGTTGATCTGTTCGAGGTCTTTTTTTATGTGTTTATCGAACTTATTCTTAAGTTTAAAAACTAAAAAAAATTTTAAAAAGATAAGTTTTTAGGAAAAAAAAAAAAAGATTTAACTGTTTTCGCAAAAATTTCGAAAGCTTCCCAATGCAGGAGAAAAGCAAGAGTTGCCATAACGTTCACGTTCCATTTCTTTGGCCAGTTTTTCTTGTGTCCTTCATAACCTGGACTTTCAAAAATTCCGAAAAGTGTTATTTAAAGTCTCTTTTAGTTGTATTTTAAAATATTTTCTGTAAGAGCTGCTAATTTTATTTAAAAAGGAAAAAAAAAAAAAAAGGCAAAAAAAAAAAAACACAAAACCCAGAAGAAAAGTTGTAAAAATATGCCTCCTTTTTAACTATGATTTCTTCATACAGGGCATGTATTCGACGTATCATCGTGTACAGCGTCAGTACACTGAAAGCATCGCTGCGAATGCTTTCTTTATATTGGCTGTAAAAAGTTTGTATTTATTATGTATAAAAAGTTGAATAATAAAAAAAGTGGAACCAAAATCCGGGACGTTGCCTTGATAGAGCAGCCCCTCGGCCGGTGGCGAAAGCGGGTGGAAATCCAGGGACTGGGGGAGAACCTGGCTTTTGGGGATAAAAATGTGAATTTTTCTTGGGTGATATTTTTCTAGTTGATGCTTTTACAGGGAGATTTGAATCTCCAGGAGAACACTGACACACGTGCTTAAATATCTTTAAATATGGCTTTAAGGTGGTGTTGATATGAGCAGCAAAATTGTGTCAAAAAATGAAGAAGCACTAACAAAGCTCCACTTGGCGAAATAATTGCTTCATATCCAGGTTGCCCAGGGAGGTGGTTGAGGCCCCATCCCTGGAGATATTCAAGGAGAGGCTCGACGAGGCCCTGGGCAACCTGGTCTAGTTGGGGGTGTCCCTGCTGACTGCGGGGAGGTCGGACTAGATGGAGAAGCACTAACAAAGCTCCACTTGGCAAAATGATTGCTTAATATCCTTTATGCAATTAGGCTAATTGCATAAAGAAAGAGAAGGAGAGAGTGATTGATAATGACTCCACAGCATGATTGCCCTTTCATAGAATCATAGAATCATTCAGGTTGGAAGAGACCCTTGGGATCATCGAGTCCAACCATCTACCCTGCTCTACAAAGTCCTCCCCTCCGCCATGTCCCTTTGATGGGGTTGATTCTCCTCGTTGGGTGAGGAGCATTCCCACTGCATCCCCAAGGCTTTGGGATCCTTTTATGGGTTTACCTGTTGAATTTCCTTATTATTGGGTTATATTCTGGTTTTTCCTGCTTTATTTCCTTATTATTATGTTATATTCTGAGTTTCCCTCTTTTATTTCCTTTCTGCAGCTTCTGCCTTTGAGAAATCCCATCTTCCCTGCTTTTTACATGCTCCTCCAAAAAATTACTTGCTCTTTTGACCACTCGGTCCTTTTCTTTTAGCTCATTGCATCTCTCCTTTTCTTGCTGTGTCGCAAATGAACCTCTTTACTTGTGGTCTTGTGGGTTTTTTCACCACTTGAGGGACTGGAAGGGGCTCCAAGGTCTCCATGGAACCTTCTCCAGGCTGGACCCCCCCAACTCTCTCAGCCTGTCCTCCCAGCAGAGGGGCTCCAGCCCTCCCAGCATCTCCATGGTGGCCTCCTCTGGCCCCGCTCCAACAGGTCCATGTCCTTCTGATGTTGGTGACCCCAGAGCTGGACACGGTGCTCCAGGTGGCGTCTCACCAGAGAGATATTTGGAGAAGCAGGACGAGGAACAACACAGAGGTTGAAACGTTGGTCTCTTCCTGGAAGAGTCGGTGCAGGACCATCACTGTCTCTGGTGGAGCTGGTGTTCCCTCTGAAGCTCTTGGGTTTTCTAAAGGATCATGAGACTGAGACTCGGCAGAAGGTCCGAGACTCGACAAACTCAGTGCACTGGAGTTTCTTACTGTTTGTTTCCTGGAAATACTGAAGGAAATACAGGCACGTGGGGAAGTTCTCCTTCCCTTAGGTACAAGTTTCGCTGTTAATTATAATATTAATGGGGGTTGGAGTAGACGACCTCTAAACGTCTCTTCCATCGCAAACTACCCCATGATTCTATAAAAAAAAGGAGAAGAAAAACCCCACCCTCTTCTCCAAATAAAGGATCTTTTGCTTCTCTGCACATAACCTGGAGGACTGGCTGCTCTGTGCTTTATTCCTCCTCGTTTTTCCAACGAGCTCCCTCTAATTAATAACCTGCAAATCCGAGGAGCAGGAAAACTACCACAATCGGCTTCTCCTTCTACGGAGCCTCCCAGGAAGCTCAGGAGGGGAGATCCTGCTGCCGTGGGGAGTCCCCTCTCCCCACATTTTCTCCATTTGCAGATCTGCTGCCCTACATCCAACCCACGGGAGGGAGGATGCTTCTTCCCCACCTTCCATCCTACCTCCAGCCGGTTCTCCGAGGGGCGAGCGCGGGGACACGGAGACCTCGGTTCAAGGCACAGGGGGGAAGGATGGAGAGAGCGAGGGATAAAAGGGAAGAAAAACTTCACTGAAGTCAGGGAATGCAGCAAACGAGGCACAAAAGAAAAAAAAAATGCAGGGAGGAAAACGCTGACGTGCTCACTCTGCCGAGCAGTTTCCTCCTTCCAGGCGTTACCCCCCCGGGGAATGGAGGATTACGGAGCCGGGAAGAAGGATGGTTGGAGCAAACCAGGCTCTGCATTGCAGGGCATTTCAGCTAGAAAAAATCAAAGCTCTGCAGCCACAGCAGGGCTGGAGCAGAGAAGGCAACAAATCTCCCTGGTTTGGAGGAGCTGAACTGGAAGAGACCCCCAGCCCTGCGGGGAAGGACCACCCTCCGCTGGAGAAACGCTGAAGAAAAATGGGAGGCAGCCGTGGCCCAGCTGTGATTTAATTTGGTGGAGTGTGCTCTGCATCCCAAGGGAAGAATCAGCCCTGCCCTCCTCAGAAATACACCCTGGAATTATACTTTACCTGTAGCAGACAATGATTTAGTTTATATCACAGAATCACAGAATCTTCTAGGTTGGAAGGGACCTTAAAGATCATCTTGTCCAACCGTCAACCTAACTGACAAAAATAGACACCCACACAACAAACAAGGAGCATCATCACTAAACCATACCTCCCAGCACTACATCAACCCGTCTTTTGAACACCTCCAGGGATGGTGCCTCAACCACCTCCCTGGGCAGCCCATTCCAATGCCTGATAACCCTTTCAGTGAAAAAATTTTTCCTAATATCCAGCCTGAACCTAATTCTCCTCGTTGGGTGAGGAGCATTCCCACTGCATCCCCAAGGCTTTGGGATCCTTTTATGGGTTTACCTGTTGAATTTCCTTATTATTGGGTTATATTCTGGTTTTTCCTGCTTTATTTCCTTATTATTATGTTATATTCTGAGTTTCCCTCTTTTATTTCCTTTCTGCAGCTTCTGCCTTTGAGAAATCCCATCTTCCCTGCTTTTTACATGCTCCTCCAAAAAATTACTTGCTCTTTTGACCACTCGGTCCTTTTCTTTTAGCTCATTGCATCTCTCCTTTTCTTGCTGTGTCGCAAATGAACCTCTTTACTTGTGGTCTTGTGGGTTTTTTCACCACTTGAGGGACTGGAAGGGGCTCCAAGGTCTCCATGGAACCTTCTCCAGGCTGGACCCCCCCAACTCTCTCAGCCTGTCCTCCCAGCAGAGGGGCTCCAGCCCTCCCAGCATCTCCATGGTGGCCTCCTCTGGCCCCGCTCCAACAGGTCCATGTCCTTCTGATGTTGGTGACCCCAGAGCTGGACACGGTGCTCCAGGTGGCGTCTCACCAGAGAGATATTTGGAGAAGCAGGACGAGGAACAACACAGAGGTTGAAACGTTGGTCTCTTCCTGGAAGAGTCGGTGCAGGACCATCACTGTCTCTGGTGGAGCTGGTGTTCCCTCTGAAGCTCTTGGGTTTTCTAAAGGATCATGAGACTGAGACTCGGCAGAAGGTCCGAGACTCGACAAACTCAGTGCACTGGAGTTTCTTACTGTTTGTTTCCTGGAAATACTGAAGGAAATACAGGCACGTGGGGAAGTTCTCCTTCCCTTAGGTACAAGTTTCGCTGTTAATTATAATATTAATGGGGGTTGGAGTAGACGACCTCTAAACGTCTCTTCCATCGCAAACTACCCCATGATTCTATAAAAAAAAGGAGAAGAAAAACCCCACCCTCTTCTCCAAATAAAGGATCTTTTGCTTCTCTGCACATAACCTGGAGGACTGGCTGCTCTGTGCTTTATTCCTCCTCGTTTTTCCAACGAGCTCCCTCTAATTAATAACCTGCAAATCCGAGGAGCAGGAAAACTACCGCGATCGGCTTTTCCTTCTACGGAGCCTCCCAGGAAGCTCAGGAGGGGAGATCCTGCTGCCGTGGGGAGTCCCCTCTCCCCGCATTTTCTCCGTTTTTGGATCTGCTGCCCTACATCCAACCCACGGGAGGGAGGATGCTTCTTCCCCACCTTCCATCCTACCTCCAGCCGGTTCTCCGAGGGGCGAGCGCGGGGGACACGGAGACCTCGGTTCAAGGCACAGGGGGGAAGGATGGAGAGAGCGAGGGATAAAAGGGAAGAAAAACTTCACTGAAGTCAGGGAATGCAGCAAACGAGGCACAAAAGAAAAAAAAAATGCAGGGAGGAAAACGCTGACGTGCTCACTCTGCCGAGCAGTTTCCTCCTTCCAGGCGTTACCCCCCCGGGGAATGGAGGATTACGGAGCCGGGAAGAAGGATGGTTGGAGCAAACCAGGCTCTGCATTGCAGGGCATTTCAGCCAGAAAAAATCAAAGCTCTGCAGCCACAGCAGGGCTGGAGCAGAGAAGGCAACAAATCTCCCTGGTTTGGAGGAGCTGAACTGGAAGAGACCCCCAGCCCTGCGGGGAAGGACCACCCTCCGCTGGAGAAACGCTGAAGAAAAATGGGAGGCAGCCGTGGCCCAGCTGTGATTTAATTTGGTGGAGTGTGCTCTGCATCCCAAGGGAAGAATCAGCCCTGCCCTCCTCAGAAATACACCCTGGAATTATACTTTACCTGTAGCAGACAATGATTTAGTTTATATCACAGAATCACAGAATCTTCTAGGTTGGAAGGGACCTTAAAGATCATCTTGTCCAACCGTCAACCTAACTGACAAAAATAGACACCCACACAACAAACAAGGAGCATCATCACTAAACCATACCTCCCAGCACTACATCAACCCGTCTTTTGAACACCTCCAGGGATGGTGCCTCAACCACCTCCCTGGGCAGCCCATTCCAATGGCTGAGAACCCTTTCAGGGAAAAGATTTTTCCTAATATCCAG